GCAGAGGGAGGCGTCGAAGGGTCTGAGGCATTAGTTTGCTGTCGTGTCAGCTCCGCGCTGGCTGGCAGAGTGAGCAGCTCCTGTGGGCCGGGCGGGGTGGGGGTGGGGGGGGGCTTGGACCTGGAAGTGGGAGCGCCTGCAGAGCTGCCTCAGTTATCTAGAGGCTCCGCCCGCATGAAACCCTTCCGCTCCCCTCCCCCAGCGGGCTCTCCCACCGGGCGATGCAGGCCCCTGGCTAGAGTGCTTGGCCCTCGTCAGACTCTTGTTGAAGACCTGGCCGCTCAGAGTGGCTGGTCCTAGGCCCACAGCGTCCCCAGTCCTTCCTCCTGTGGGAGCCTCTCGGGTGCCCTGACAGTCGGGAAGGATCCGAGGAGGGGGCAGGACACAGTCACAGGCTCCCTGGTCATCTCCGGCCACTGGCCACTGCCTTCCCCTCCATCCAGCTGTATGACACAGTCTGGCCCGGCACCTGGCCGCCTCTGTGTCCCCCTCTGCGGGGGGTGGGGGGACGCGGTAGAGGAGCCTCTCCTCACAAGGCCTGGGGCCATGTGACCGCTGTTGCCTCAACGTCCCTGTGCTCACCTCCGGGTCACATCCCCCGCTGTGCTCCCTCTTTCTGTTGGGACCGCCGCCTCCTGCCCGAGGAGCAGGTCCAGAAGGACAGGCTGCTGGCGGGCGAGTCCCCGAGGTACTCTCAGCACCCGAGACCGAGCCTCGGCCACGGCTCAGTGCAGGTCGCGGGTGGGTGCGTCGGCTGGTGGGCCCGGTTTTCTGAAGCCGCTTCACTGAGGGAGGAGGGAGGGCTCAGGGCTGAGCGCCCTGAGCGTCTCACAGCTTTTTCTGGCAGCGGAGCCCGAGGCTGGTCCTGCGAGGCTCCCCGGGCCTCCCTGCCGGGCCTTCCCAGCTGCCTGCACTCGCACATGGTGTCCTCCTATGTCCACGTCCCGCCAAGGGTGCTCTTGGGATTTCAGGAACGTGACTCACTGTATTTTGCAGTTTAGAAATAGAAATACTTGGGGAGGCGGATGAGGAAGTGGAAAACGGCAGCTGTCTGGCTCGTTGGTTTTGCTCTGGCGGATGCATTCGGGGTTGCTTTGCGCCCGACAGCCTGAGCCCGAGAGCTGGAGGACGCAAGCAGCAGTCTCTCCTGGGTCCCCTGCTGGGCCGTCCCCAGAATTGGCGCACGGGGCAGGGCTGCCGGAGGGCGCGCGGCCCGACTCGTCTGCGGCTCTGGTTCCCCCAGGTGCCGGTGAAGCACGTGTACCGCGTGCTCCAGTGTCAGGAAGAGGAGCTCACGCAGATGGTGTCCACGATGTCTGATGGCTGGAAGTTCGAGCAGGTGAGCCCCTCCCCACCGCGCCCCTGCCAGGCTGGGTTGCCGCCAGCCTGCCGCGGAACCTTTAATTACAAAGGCTCCACCCGGGTCCTCGGGCTGCTGACCCTGAGGGCCAGTCATGAGGCGTCCGTGGCCTGTGGTTCGCCGTCCCCACGTGTCCTCCGACACCTCACGGGCTGCAGCCTGCGCCCTGTCCTGATTGGACTGGTGTCTGGGGGCGGGGGGGGCTATTCCCGGAGCCCCACCCCCACCCCGACACAGAGACCTCCATCCCCGCTCCCCTCCTCCTTTGCGGGGGGCCGTTCTCTGTGTCTCCATCTGGCGTCTCCCTGCGTGTGTGGGATTGACAGCCACAGCCTCGGTGTATGTTGGCCTGGCCCCACCCTCTTGTCCCCTCGCATCCCCTCCCCTGAGGGCCGACCAGATGGTGGCTTGGGCCCCTGTGTGCTACGGCTGGCACAGATGCCCTTCCCGGTGGGGCTGCCCTGCAGCCCCCCTGAGGATGCGGGTGTTCCTTCCTTCTTGGTGCTCCGGCTCCCGTCCCGTGTAGCCGCAGCCCCGGCGCGGCCTCGGGGCATGTCCCGGGTGCCCTCACGTTCCTGTCCCTCGGGCAGGTCTGGGCTGAGGTTGGGACTTGTGACCCCGCCTGGCCCCCAGCCCCCCGTAGCAACTGCCCCGCTCACCAGGCTCCTCTCTGGCCTCTGGAAGATTCCTCCGTCAGTAGCTTCTGTCGGGCGTGGGTTCTGGCCACAGTGCGCAGTCCTGCCCAGAGAGAGGGTGGGAAATGACAGCGTCACCCGGCCTCCCCTCTGATTAAGGCCACATCTTTTCTGTGGGTCTTTAGAAACAACGGATCATGTTGTAGAGCGCCCTTAAATGTCACTAGGACAGGTGCGGCGTTTGCATCGTCCCTCCAACCTGGGGCCAGCTCTCCGGCCTGGCAGCGCAGCAGGGTGAGTGGTTGGTCCCTGCGGCCACCAGGGCTGCTCTCTGTCCCTGACGATGTTGGAACTAGGCCTGCCCTGCCCCATGCTGGGGGTCCAGGTGGCTTCTGACCTCGTTAAACTCATGCCAGAGACCTTGCAGGGACAGGAGTCCCCACTGGCCCTGGTGTCCTCCTTCACGTGCAGCCTAGACGAGGGCTGGAGAGATGGGGCTGCAGTCGCTGGACCGGGTCACCCTCCCCTGGAGCCCAGTGCACAGCTCTCCTGCACGGGCTTCTGTCTTCGTCATCATGGCCAGTCTGAGGACTCTGTCCTTAGCCCCTCTGGGCGGGTCTCTACTGCATCACACAGGCCAGCTGCCTCTCTTCCCTTTGAATCTTTAAGAAGAAATTTTTTTAATGTTTTATTTATTTTTAAGAGAGAGACAGAGCGTGAGTGGGGGAAGGGCAGAGAGAGAGACACAGAATCCGAAGCAGGCTCCAGGCTCTGAGCTGTCAGCACAGAGCCTGACGTGGGGCTGGAACCCACAGACCGAGAGACCATGACCTGAGCTGAAGTCACACACTCAGCCGACTCAGCCACCCAGGCGCCCCTCTTCCCCTTGAACCTTAACCTGCTTTGCCCACTTTGTGCCTGGAGCGTGTCCTCCTCCCATTTCTTGCCTACAAAACTCCAGAACCGGTCATGTTCGATGAGAAATGCTCTACTCAGAAGCAGGAGCGGGAAACACTGGGGGAGAAGTAGGGCGAGAGCCCCGACCCCTGAGGGGTCCTGCCACCACGCCTGGGTCACCAGTGATCGGCCATGAGGCCAGAACAAGGATCTGAGGGAGGTTCAGAAGAGGCTGGCGTGCCTCGTGAGAACGTGCAGACCGTTGTCAGGGGCCACACGCCTGCAGCTCAGTCTGCACCCAGGGCCGTGTACCCCCAAGGTTCGCGGGCGGTAGGACACCTCTCCCCACGCTGGTGAGCCTAGAACAGACTTCGGAGCGGCAGGGAGCCCGTGCAGCCTGCTCTGCCCTTGTCTGGCCACGAAGGCTGTATGCTTGCCGCGTGGCCTTGCCCGCTGCCCCCGCCGTGTCCTCGTCCCCCCACAGTGCTGCTCGTAGTGCCCCTGCCTTTGAAAACCTCACCATGGTGTCAGGCTTTCTTTGGACTCCTTTTGCGTTTAAAAGCGCATGAGCCTGTGGTGGCTCTGGGCTAAGCTGGGGCGGGCGGGTCGGCCAGTCGGGGGGCACCCGCACCAGCCGAGCCTGAGGTGTGTGGAGGCCACAGCATGCCGGCGAGCACCCCTGAGCTGACCCTTCCACCTGCCTTCCCTCCCCACACTACTGTGCCCCCTCCTCGGTTAACGGCCCTGGTGGGAGGGGGCCCGGTGGCCGCAGCAACGTGTGTGTGATGAGCCACACACACGGCTCTGAGCCAGCCGCCGCTGCCCCCTCGTGACCTCCCAACACAGGCTCCCTCTCCTGGGGGCCCCACCGGAAACCTGACGGAGCCGGATGTCCCAGCAGGGATGGGCACGCGTGGTGTGTTGTGGGACGGCGTGTGTGCACGCATGTGCTGTGTGGATGTTGTGGGACTGCGTTTTCCGTGAGTTCGTTAGAAACCTCTCGTCCAAGACCTGTCCCTTAACCTCCCGAGTGCCGGCTGTCTTCAGCGTGGGTGTGGGTGCCAGGCCAGGGTCTCCCTGCCGGTGGGGGAGGGGTGGGCGCTGGGCCGGGGTTCCCCTGCTGGTGGTGGAAGGGAAGGGGTGGGCGCTGGGCCGAGGTCTCCTGCTGGTGGGGGAAGGGGAGGGGTGGGCCCTGCGCCAGGGTCTCCTGCTGTTGAGGGAGGGGTGGGTGCTGGTCTGGAGTCTCCCTGCTGGCGGGGGAAGGGGACGGGTGGGCGCTGGGCCGAGGTCTCCCTGCTGGCGGTGGGGGGGACGGGGAGGGGCAGGTGTGTGTGCAGTGCTCCAACCCCATCACGCTGCTCTCCTCTGTCCCAGCTGGTCAGCATCGGCTCTTCCTACAACTACGGGAGCGAGGACCAGGCTGAATTCCTATGCGTGGTCTCCAAGGAACTGCACAACTCCCCGTACGGCACGACCAGTGAGCCCAGCGAGAAGGCCAAGGTGGGTGACTGCGGGCTGGCAGGCTCCGGACACAGCCGTGGACACTGTAGCTCCCTGCCCGCGGAGGGGCTTGTGGCCACGGAGGCTGCCCTTTGCAGAGCTGAGCTCGTCTCCTTAGGGCCTTGTCGTTTCTCACGGTTCGTATCGCGCTCCCGGCCACACAGGCTGCTGGGAGGCTTGTGCACCTCATGCTTGTCGTTTGCAGTCCCGTAGTTCTCGCCTCGTGTCAGAAGCAGAGTTCTGGAAGGAAGGACACGTAGGCCCTGTGGGTCACAGGTGGTGGAATGAGGGGTCTCTGAACACAGGCTCCCCCTTGGGTCGAGCCCCTGTGGACTCTGTGGCCCATGCCGTCTGCCAACACATCTTCTAACGGGCAGAGTTGCTTCTGGAAGTCTGCCTTTTAAGTGATGCCGTTGTAGGTTGTTTTCCCGAGGACTTGGGACGTCCAGGCTGGAGGGTGCCCCCCTGTCCCCGCCTCAAGTGGCACCTGCCTTAACCACATCCATCCTGGTCTCGGGGGCCGCGTTTGGCTGGCGAAAGCAGCAGACTACCGGGAGTGTCGCCTTGCTCGGCCCCTTGTAAACTGTCACCGGCTCCCTGACAGGCACTGGCTCTTCTGCCTGCCAAAGAGGCCAATGCGGCCAGGGTATAAATGCCTGGACGACTGTGCTGTGGGTTTGTTTGCATGGTAGCCTCATGGCCCGGAGCCGCGGCTGGCCTTGTCCAGAGGTGGCAGGTTCTAGTGGCCTCTCCTCTGGGCTCCCTCCTGGGGTCACTGACTCCAGATGCTTCCGTTCTTGGCAAAGTCCGGTACTGGCCAAGGCTGGCACCACCTGGCGGGACTCCTGGGCCTGCATCCAGCCTGGGGGGTGGGCGGCCACGGTTGGGGGCCGGGCTGGGGCGGCACCCCTGGTGAGCACAGGAAAGGGCCGCAGCCAGGATGACTTTAAACCGGGGACTCCCCAGGCTTCCTCAGATTCATGGCCTGGGTGGCCTCTGGCCGGATCGCCACCAGCCCAGAACTGCCCCGTGACCCTTTCAGGGGCCTCCGTGGAGGTGTGGGCCCAGGAACAGACAGCAGAGTGTCCCCCAGCATGTTAGCTTTCCCAAAGTGGCCATCTCCGTGGGGCTCGAGGCAGCTTGGTCATCACAGCATGAAGTTCTGTGTCTTCACGACGGGGTGACTGTCTGGGACACAGGGCGTCCAGAGGGGGGGGCTCCTGTCCACGGCCCGGACTCAGCACGTAGCTCGTGTGCAGGATCCAGGGCAGCCTCTGGGTCAGGGAGCGTCCCCGCGGCACTGGGCCTGGGACGAGCCTCCCGTGGAGTCTGGGGTGGAAGGTGGCCCCAGCCTCATAAGGAGGCGGAGTTCTTGTGTAAGTTGTTCATTTTTAGAAGGTTTTATTTCTGAACTTGAAACGTTTTCGTGGCCGAGCTTCACCAGGGCAGCCGCCCGAGCTCATTTCCCTCGGGCGGGGCTTCAGCTGCAGAAAGCTGCGTCTGTGCTGTGAGGAAGCTCCAGGCGTGACCCCAAATCCCTTTGCTTTTGAAAACGTGGCCCTATTTTTCTCTCCAAAAATACCTCACTCTGAAGTGTTGCAGCCAGGGTGACTTCTAAACGGGGGCAGTGGCGGGAGCTCCCCAGGAGGCGGGACCATGGTTGGGGCCTCCAGAAAGTCGTGGAAAACCACTGGGGCCGGGCTGGGGGACAGCCTGGTGGCAGCGGTGCTGCGCGTCCTGAGGATGGGAGTCAGGCGGGGGCTTAGTGAGGGCAGCAGTCCACACGAGGGTGGAGACCGCAGGTTCAAGGGCTTCCCGGACCCCTCTGCCAATCTGACATTTGCTGGAAGGACTTGCGGAACTCTCCGGCGGCAGGGATGCGTGGGGACGGGGGCGGTGGCTGAGGCCAGGAGGCCTGGTGGACACGGAGCTGCCTCGTGTAGTCTGTGGACTCAGGACCCGTGGTAGCATGTGGCGCACTGCCCGCCAGCGATGCCCCCCACCTCTGTGTCCAGAGGTTTTACTGGTCTCGGTGAACTGGACGAGGTCAACTGATGATTGATCAGTGACCGATCTCCCACTTGCCTGATCACAGTCTTCAGCCACCGGGCCCACTGACCCTTCCATTGTCACGTTCTTAGACCGTCATGTCTTCTCTGGAGCCAGCAGCATAGCCCAGACCTCGATTGGGCACGGTTCAGTTCTTCACTGAAAAGAGGGAAGGAAGACTCTGGAACTTGGGGAGTGCCAGGCCCAGGGAAAATGGCCATGTGTTTGTTTTTCTCCATGGCCCGTCTGGGCCTGTGGGTTCGGGGCCCAGGACCACCCCCGACGTGGGGCAGGTCCGTGTGTGCGTCACCACATGGCACCATGGGAGCTCCTGAACCCAAGTGCCGCCGCCCTGGGTGGACGCGGCCTCTCTGGGTGGGTTTCCCCCAGCTGCCCCCCGACCTCACCCTGCACTGACGGTGCCCTCTCTTCTTCTCCCTTGCCGCATGCCGCGTGCCGAGCCAGAGCGACGACGAGGAGACGGGTCCCGATGGGGATGACTCAGATTAAGTGTAAATGTCATGGTGAGCTCTGTCACCCTTGAAACTGACCACTCACCGTAGTTTCCTTGACCCCAACCCTTCCTCCGCTGCATTTTTCCCATACCTGTAGTTGACAGAGAACCTTCCACGCTTGACGCTGACTGTAGATCTCCAGTGGAGCCAGCCTGTCTGTTTCCTTTAAGACATCTGCATGGGTAGCCCTGGAACCTGGGCTGGGGTCTCTGAGAGCCCTGTGTGTCAGGCTTGACAGGACCTCCTCGCTGTGGGGGTCAGCGGGCCAAGGACATGGGCCTGCCCCCTCCTGGGGACTGGCAAGCACCCAGACCCTGGCTCCCCGCTCCTGTCACTCTGCCGTGGTTTCAGGGCCACAGAGACAGGGCTGTGCCTTAGCGGGTGGACCTCAGTCCCCATGCCAAAGCCCACAGCGCCTCTCACCCTGAACTTCACACAAGGGATGCTGAGAGAGGGGAGTCTCTGAGGACTTTCTTTCCGTTTGTCCTATGATGAGGGGCTCCGCTAATGCTCCCTCGGCCCACAGCTGCTCCCCACGTCCCTGTGTTTCCTGGCCTCTTCCCTTGCCCAGCTCTAGAATCCAGCTGTGTTGACCACCAGCAGGGGCCACCTGCTCTGTGCCCTCATCTTGAGCACAGGAAGTCACCTAGAGAGGGCAGGTTGCTGGTGGGCGAGCCAGGTGTCATCCAAGGAGCTCCCCTGCTCCCTCCAGGGCCCCCATTCTCGGGCCAAGCCATACAGGTCGGGGCTCCTCAGCCTCTGTCTGACCCGGGAAGAGCTCGGCAAAGGCGTGCAGCCAGCCGAGCACTAAAAGGTTGGCCGTCGGGCCGTGAGAACTCTGGACTGGGGATTGCAAACTCAGAGCGGCATTTCCATCTTTAGTTATGTTCTCGATGATCGTATAAGTATACAACATCCTCGGTGTTGCCTCTCGACCCTCCCGTCTTTGAATATTTGTTATTTGGTTCTTTAAGGAAAGTTTGCAAGCCCTGGTCTGGGCCAGCGACCTGCAGTGCAAGTCTGCTGTGTATCTTCAAGCTCACCAGTAGCCACGGTGGGAAAGTCCAAAGAAAGGCAAATTTGTGCTCATACTGTGAATTCAGTACGTCCAGAACCTCAGAAATCGTGGAGATACTTAATTTCCTCCTCGAAGTCTCTGAGACCACATGCGTAGTTTGTGTTAGTGGCCCCCTGTTCGGAGCTGCCGCGCCTGGGGCTCAGCAGCCACATGGGCCGTGGGCTCCTGGATCGGCCTGGCCGGATGCCGAGCTGTGCTATGAGCCTGGCCGGGCGCTGGGGGAGCATGGGGGAGCCTGCCTGCCGGCCAGGCGCTGGCTGCACCCACCTCCTCCGGGAGGTCAGTCTTCTCTCAGCCCCTGCCCCCCGCGGTTCATCTTGCTCCTCCCCGGGGAGCTGCCCTAGGGGCCTGGGCTTGGCCCGCCGAAGCAGCGTCAGCCTGCCTGGGCCCGTCCGCCGGGGACTTGAGGGACACAGCTGGTGTCCGTGGGAGGCGGCCGCTGGGTGGCCTGGCCTGTGACTGTCACAGGTCCTGGGAGGGGTTTTCTATCCTTGTTAGGAGGCGGTAGTTGGGCCTCACTCTGGTGGGGCAGCCCCTCCTGTGTTGTCACCTTGCTCTGGGCCACGTTGCGGTCGCATAGGCTTCCTCCTTTCCGCTGTGATCTCAGATGCTCCTCTCCTCTGCTGGGCTCCCTCAAGGTGAGCAGCAGCTCTGTTTCATGGGCTCCCACCGATTCTGGCTTGCCCTGCAAACAGCAAAGATGCTGGGGCTGGGGCTGGGGCTGGGACCAGCGTCTTGAGAACAGAAGGGACCTGCAAGGGCTGAGTGGGTGTGTACGATCATCCCGGTCACCTCCTTGGGCCGTGTCCCTCAGACAGGGTCCATCTGGGCTGAGGAGGGATGTTCAATCTGGGGTGCTGTTCCCCCATCACAGCAGAAGGTGCACCGTACAGGAAGAAAAGCGGGGTCCCGGGTGGTGGGCACAGTGGGCCGGAGAGCACCAGAGCGTGCCTCCTGGGTGTTCGGAGCCCTCAGAGACGTGCTGGGCACGGGTCCAGGGACCAGTAGGGGCATGTAAGGCACCAGGGCACAGGCTGGAGTGACCCTCAAGAATTTGGGACTCCTGAGTGATTCTGGACAAGTGACAGAGAGTGACTGGTACCCCCGTTCCTGTGGCCACACTGCTCTGGGCAGCCACCCTGGCCTGTGAGCAGGTGGTTGGGGGCTGGTGGGGCCTCCCTGGAGACTCCGTGGCCAGAGCAGCTGTGTGGACCTGGTGCCAGCAGGCTGGCCCCTCCCGGGGCACAGTCCACCTTGTGCCTGGGTCCAGGGTTCAGAAACAAGGTGTCCTCAGAGCCATATCTCACTAAACTCCGGAATTCAAGCAGAAGATGCCTCCAGGAGGCCAGCTCTCACACTGCCGACAGTGTGGGCCATCTCCGGTGCCCACCTTGGCTGGGTTGGGCCAGGCCGGGACTCAGGACGTTTCTCGTGGTTATCTGGTGTTTAGCCATACCGTACATATTGATCGAAACCACAAGGTCTGCCAGCTCTGAAGCCCCCACCTGGGGACACAGGGTAGTCCCTTCCCCAACCTGGTCTGCGTGGGGTTCGGCGCCGCAGGTGTTTGCCAGGACTCAGGCCTGTCCCCAGGTAGCTCCAGGCCTTGAGAAGCTCCCAGCCTGGTTTGGGGGTGGGAAGCACAGATGCCGGGGCTGAGGGAGGGTGGGGGCCTTGCTCTGTCCCTGAGATGCCGAGGAGGAGTGACAGACACAGGGACGGGCATCGTGGCCGAGGAGCGTTGGGCTCTGCGGGGCTGCGGCAAGGAGGGGTTGGCACCCTTGAGGTGTCCGGTCCAGTCACAGGGAGGCCAGCACACCGTGAAGCACAATGTCAGCCCTGCTGGGCAGCGTGCAGGGTGAACTGGTGGGTTTGGGGGTGATGGGGTAGTCCTGGGGGCTCAGGCTTCCGGGCTTTGTGATTAGTGCAGGGTTGAGGGGACACCGAGGGGACTTGGTTTGTGATGGGACACGGAAAAAGAAAGAGGAGCAGGCTGTTGGGGGACCGACGGTACCTGGTCATACACGGGTCTGCAGCCCAGGACTTAGCCAGGCTGGACACTCAGGACTTGGTGCCTGTCCCACAAGCCCTGGCGCCCTCGGGGGGGAAGAGCAGGGGTGGCTCTCAGAGGACCTCTGGGCCCTTGATAAGGAGCCACTGGTGTGGGAGGTGGGGGCACATATGTCTGCCGTGGGCCAGGATGGAGAGCCGGAGGGCCCCTGGCAGAGGGCCAGAGGTGCGTGAGACGGCCCCCTCAGTGGGGTCTCCCGGCCCTTCTCTGCCCCTGACCTTCGTGCTGGCCTCTTTGGCCCCCTGGGGCCCCCCGGGCGTGGACTGGGGCTCTTGGGCCCTGCTTCTGGTGCAGGGCGCCTCTCTTTGGGGCCTCGTGGCTCCCAGCTGGCCGCAGGCCGAAGCCCTGTCCGGCGCCTGAGTCCTTATTCTCTGTGTTTGGCGTTTTCAGATTTTGCAAGAACGGGGTTCGAGGATGTGAGAAGCATAGTGTTGACAGCTGAAGAAACATTTTATCTTTTCCCAAGATGCAACGATCTGCCATGTCGAGGAAGCTTGGCCGTGAGAAGAAACCTGCTTTTGACAATTTCTCTAGAGATCTGGGTGTGGATCCTTTTTTGCCTCTGAGGTGGGTGGTGAGAGACGGGACCAGCTGTCTGAGGCCCGGCATCCCCACTCGGAGGAGGCGTGCTGGCCAGGTGGGTGTCCCCACGGGGCCCCCACTCGGTATCCCGTGTGCCGCATGGGCCCAAGGCAGGATGCTTCCAGCCAGCCTAATCACCGAAGAGCATTTAAAGGACAGCGTTCTTGGTGCTACATAAACAGTCTATAATGGAGCCTGGGCCTTGCTGGTAGGAAGCGGCTGCAGCGCCATGGCCCGGGTTCTGGGTGCCCGCTGGCACCCACGTGCGCACCAGGCCCTGGTCCTCGGGTCGGGGAGTCTGCTCTGCCTCCCAGGCGGGAGCGGTTGGCAGTGTCTCGCAGCCCCAGCGGCTCCTGGGAGAGGCGGCCTCCGCGTGTTCACTACTTTCCGGGCCTCGGCCGTGGGCCCGGGCCTCCTTCAGAGCCAGGCTCCCCCGGCCTGACCCTGCCTGGAACAGTCGAGGCTTCTCCATTTGTATTTTCCAGGCAAGAGAACTTTGCACCCCTTCTTCCCCAGCGTGGATGGACAACCTAGCGTTTTTACTTTTTAGAAATGCCTGAAAGTGTTGCTGCGTTTTGGACCGATCTGTTAAGTCACTCAAAGGGAGGCAGAAGTCCGTCTCGTGCGGCCCACCCTCAGGCTTGTGGGGAGCCGTTGCCCGTCAGTGCCTTTGTCTCGCCTGGGATGGAGGCCGGGGCGGGAGGCCTGTCCACCTGGCTTCCGGAGCGGAAACTCCGGGTCACGCCGAAAATTGGATGTTTACAGTGCATCACAAATCTCTCTTGCCGGCTCTCTCATTTTCTTTGTCTAACTATGCAGTTCTCTGGTGTTTCTGGGGTGTTTGAGACTTCACACGACCTGCACGGGCTCTGCCCACACGACCTGACATCGGAGCCACTAGAATCCCTATAGGAACCGCTGCTCGCATGCTCTGAGGACAGGCCTTCCTTAGCTGGCCGTGGGGGCTGTCCACGTGCGGGGGGCCTGGCTCGGACGTGCAGCTCTCGCCTTCCTTGCTAGGATCGCTGTGCGCACTGACCGCTGCTGGGTGGGGCGGAGGCTCTGACATGCTTCGTTTCCAATGCTTCTGGAGGCTTCTCGCCTGTGCCCTCTTCTCCTTTGCCAATGACCTGATTAACCTACTTCTCCAGCACCCAGGACTTACCTCCTCCTTTTTGTAAGGTCTGTTGTATGTTGTTGACTGTTGGCTTCAACCGTTCATAGCAACCTTTCTATAGGGCACATTTAGGTCCTCGTGACCCGCCCTCCCGGTGAGCCCCAGGGAGGGGGGCAGCCCCTTAGTGGCCTACGGGTGTACCTGTGGGGCCCTGCTGGCCACTTAGCGTCGTTTGATTTGTGACCTTGACATAATAGATAGGCTTGTTGTTTTTTAATTTAAAGATATTAAGACTTAATTCACTAAAATTTATTCTAAGGGGATATTTATACTTTTATACTTTTTTAGGTATCCGTATTTTATCAGCTTACAGCCTAAGTTTCCCCTGAAAATAGCGAATAAAGTTGTGTATTTATGAATGAGCAGAACAACTGTTAGTGTCTTAAAATGTGTGGAAAAGCAGCTGCTGCAGAAACGCTGCCCTGGGCTTGTGGTGACCTGGACGCAGTCAGTGGCCAGGGCGGAGCCACCCGTGTATTGGCTGCCTGGCGAGGGCCTGGCAAGGGCCCGGCGAGGACCAAGGCACAGCAGAGCAGCACGTGCCCATCTCCCACCTCCACCAGGCCAGCCCCGGCCGCCTCCCCTACCTCTTGCTGGCATCATGCCCCCATCCCCGGGGAGAGGAGATCATCTTCGAGTGGCATTTTTAAGGCACTGATGCCTCGCGGCGTTGAGTGTGTTCACCTGTCTCGTCTCTCACCCTGGCCAGAGGCACCAGCTGTGTGGAAATTTCTCCGCATCCAGGGGCACATCCCGCCAGCATGCAGCCTCTCTGGCTCCCCCTGGTGGCCTCGGGCTGCCCTCCACACTTGGGGGAAATTCCCACCCCCTGTGCTGCAGCGCCGCCCCCCCCCCCCCGAGGTTGGGAGGGATGCCTTTGATCCCAAAATACTGGAGCATCTGGCTGCCCAAACCCCCAGCCGAGTCCGAGTGTCCATGCTGCTTCCAGGCATGCTGCTGGCCTGGGGCCAGGGGTCCCCGGGGTCCTGGGGTTTGTCTTGCCAGCCCAGGCTGGGGAATGGGACCTGCTTGCCCGGGTGGCGGGGGTGCTGAATTCTCAGGTGCTCAGTGCACATCTGGGAGCGCGTGGGGCAGGACTCCAGATTCTGCCTCTGTGAGTTTGCTTTCTGCACAGACTGAACTTGACATCTTCCGGCTCTGGGGATAACAGAGAACCTGAATGTGTCTTCAGGTCCCTCTGCCAAGGTCTTGCGTCGTCCCCATCAAAGCCCCGAGCTTGTCTCCTGTCCAGGCGAAGGACTGGAAACCGCCGATCATGAGGCTGAGGGCCCTGACGCGGTCCACTGGGCAGGCAGGCAGGAAGCTCTGCCTTGAGAGCCTGGTGCCGTAGGCACAGCACGCCCGCCGTCAGGGGTGTGGGGAGGGCAAGGGCACAGCTTTCTGGGCAGCCAGCCCTGTAGCTCCAGGAGGCCAGCGGGCCAGACAGAAGAGGGAGGTGGGTGCCTGGAGTATGCGGCTGCTGGGCCCCCAGCCAGAACCTGGGGCACCGCACGGGGGCAGGCACCACCCCTGATCGCCTTGTCATGCCTCCCTCCCCTACGCCCACCCAGCAGGTCTTTCTGGCATCTTCCATCCTCCCCAGAGCTGGAGGCAGTGGCTGGCTGGTCCCCCACTGCCCTTTGGTCACTGGGCCCGACAGGCACAGGGCTGAGCCTGAGGTGCAGCTGTGTGTCGGTCCTGGGGAGCCTGTGCCCTCAGGCCTGCCGGGTGCCAAGGCCCCCATGTGGCTGTGAGCAGACACAGCTCAGCTCCAGCCCCGCCACCACGCACCCGGCCACACTTCTGGAGACAAACCGCACATCTGCACCAGCGTGTGGATGCACCGCCCGTGGGGTGAGAGGGGCAGAGTCGATCTCTGGCTTTGGGGGCTTTGATTTGCACACACACCCCGTTTTCTTCCTCTCCTCCATGCGTCCCGCCTGCCCTGCCTTCTGAGCACCTGAACTCTGGGTGGACTCCTGCCCATGCACAGATGCTCCAGGGCCTGGGGCTCAGTTCGGGGTGCAGAGCCAGTCCTGTGACCTCAGGGCCGTGGCCCTTCCTGGGGCTCCCCCAGGGCGGTCATCATGCGCACAGGGGTGTGGATCTCCATGCTGGACTGCAGCTGAGCGTTGGTTGGCCCCCTCCTCCCTGTGTTGCCTCAAGGTGGGTATTTCATTGCGGGCACCGGCCCCAGCCTGGGTAGGGGGACAGGTTCTGTGTTGGTGCCAGCCGCTCTCTGAGGTGTTCTTCCTGCACCTGCCGGGGCGCTGGTGCCACTGTCCACCCCCTGGCAGATGGCTCTGAGGCACAACTTGCGCCAACGTGACGAGTTGTGTGTGAGCTGTCCCCTGCCCGCCCAGGATGGGAGATGGTCCGTGACAACAGGCAGGTTCTCTGGATGTGACCTGCACAAATAACTCGGCTCTCCCTTTAAATCCTCATCTCCGCCAGTGTTTTCTCTTCCACTCTTTTCGAATGTCTGCCCCCGGGGCTGGGTGGCCCGGAGTGTGGGGAGTCCAGAGGGTGGGGACTGTGCCCTAGGGTCACATGCTAGCCACTGTCCCACCCAGGAACCCCCAGGCTCGCCCTCCCAGCCCAACTGGGTGGGGTGTCACGGGGGTGGCTAGGCCATCCTGGCGTCTGTGGCCCTCCTCCCTGTTAGCCCCAGAGGATCCTGACCAGACCCCGCCCTGTCGCAGAGGCAGGAGAGTGAAGAGGTCCCCGGGCCCCAGAAAGCTGGAACAGCTTGCTAGAGGAGGCAGAGGTGAGGTGGCCCGTCCTACTTGGAAGGGAGCTGGTCTTTGCCTGTCTCCACACTCCCTTCCATCCCGGCCTCTCAGCACAGAGACAGCACAGGGGCCTCCAGTTAACTGGCCTCCAGGGACCAGTTAACTTTGAAGCAGCAACCCCACCTCCACTCCGCACGGGGCGTGAGGCTTCCACCCCCAGAGTGGGGTGGTGGGTTCACCCAGGCCTGTCTCCCAGGCTGCAGGGCGCAGGCCAGCCCCTGCCCCCAGCCAGGACGACCCAGACCTTGTCCCTAGGGCCGCCCTCAGGACACCTACAGCCTAGTTCCTGTCGCCCCAACCCTGCTGGGACCTCAGTGCACCTGCTGCTCCTCCCCGAGGGATGTGTAGCCCATCTGCTCTGGAGAAGGAGCTCGCAAATGCCCTGGTCCCTAGAGGGCCACTGAGCAGCCAGCAGGGAGGTGGGGGCTGTGTGAGCCCTGCCGGGGCCTCTCCTCATCCTTCCTGCTGCTCGGCAGGGACGCGCCCAGACAAAGTGGAGCACGGAGGGGGATTGGTGTTTGTTCCCACTCTGTCCCCAGGGCCAGTCCCCAGCAGGTGCTTGCTAAGTGGTTATTGATTCATTCCATAAATACCCAGGTCTGCTTTCTTCCCGGCACCAGGCCCAGGCAAGCCGTCCCAGTGTGTGCGCCAGCCAGCGTGTGTGCATGCACGTGCTTGGGTGTGCACACTGGTATGTCTGCAGGGGGTTGTGTGCGCATCTGCATGAGTGTGCACGTGTGTGCGCAGGGCAGCAGGACACCTGGCCCTGCCTTCCTAGGAGTCCCGTTCAGCCGATGGCCGCCGAGCTCACAGGCAAGTGCAGGTACCTTTCAGGAATCGGCCCACGTGAGGGAGCTGACCATCTGGCTACCAGGGGGGCCCTGCTGTGGACGCACCTGGGCCGGGCTGCTAACTTGAGGCTGTCTCCCCAGGGCAGCCTGGGACGGGCCTGAGCAGGGCCGGAGCCGGCTGGGGACCCAAGCTCTGGAGACCTTTTGTGCTGGATTCCTGGTGGTGATAGGCCACAAGAGGGCAGCCAGGAAGGAGGGGTGGGCTGCAGAGTCCTGGGGGCTGGTGAGGGGTTCTGGCTCACTTCTGAGCTCCCAGGGGTCGTGCACAAAAGCACTGACGACCCCAGCTAGTGTGGCCTGAACCCTGGGTCCTGTAGGAGGAGGGAAGTGGGGACGGGCCTGGGCTTGGGCAGGAGGGCCTGTCCTGCTGATGTCCCTGCCCTGGAATGGCCAGGCCTCCTGTGTGATACCTGGCGCAGCTCTGACTGCCCTTGCAGTGTGTGGACTTGGGGTGATTCAGACAGGCAGTGGGGGGGCCGTGATCTCCCAAGGCCCACCTAGCCTACCTCCTTTAGGACCCTCCACTGGGCTCCATTTTTCCGGCTGGTATCTGTTGCTGCCCCCAGGGGCGCCCCTCAATGATTCTCTTGGCGAGGACCATGTTGGTAAAGACGCTGAGGCAGTGGTGGGAGCAGGGGAGCTGCCTGGGAGGGGGTCCAGGGACAGGTGTCCAGTGTGCCTCAACCCATCTCCCTCCCCTGAGGGACCAAAGGGCAGCCGGCACTGAGGTTGGGTTTTGTTTTTATTGGAGGATGAACATAAATAAAAAATAACTGGGTATTTGACAGGAAAGAACGGGAGGGCTATTTACAAATGTACACCATGGGCCCCAGGGCTCAGAGGAGGGTGAGCAGGGCCACAAGGGCCAAGAGGGCCACATGGGCCGCCAGGCAGGGCACAGAGTTCAGAGCGAGGGGCTGCTGGTCCCGGGGCCCCCGCTTCTGGCCACCCGACCTAGCCTGTTGGAACTGTAATTCTGGAATGATCCGATGGATCCAGTCGTAGTGGGAGGTGACCCGGATGTAGACCCCTGGGCGGTTCCGGCGGGCGCAGCCCTCGCCCCAACTGATCACCCCAGCCTGCAGCCATGACTGGGCCACCAGGCACACGAGCGGGCCGCCCGAGTCGCCCTGTGAGGGAAGCAGGGGCCTTGTCAGAGCCTACAGTGGCCCCCAGAGCCTGCCTCTGCAGGTGCACACACAAACCTCCCTTCGTCCCTCTCCTCAGCTCCTGTGGGAGTGTCCCTGCCCAGCACCCCCACCGCTGCTACCCGCCGGTCGGTCCTTCCCTTCCCTTTATAGCCTGAGGTGCCCATTTCTCTAGCTCCCCCAGACTGCCCTGATTTAACCTTGGAGGGGCTTGTTGAAAGCGCAGGTTCCTGGGCCCCACTGCAGACCAGTATGCCGACTGTGCTGGGTGGGGTCCGGGAGTAGGACCCCACTGCTGGGATGCAGGAGAAGAGCCCCCGCCGCCTGCAGGACCCCACTGCAGGGGATGCCAAGCTCTGGTCTGGGCCGTGGCCCCACCTACTGGGGGCCTCCTCCTCCCAGCCAGGCCGGCTCCCAGCTGAACAGGGGCCTAGGGAGCAGGGCTCACCCCGGCCCCGGCAGAGACAGCTACCTTGCAGGCGTCCTTCTTGCCCTCGGCAAAGCCAGCACACAACATGTCGTTCTTGATGGTTTTGGGCTGGAAGCCCGACTCGGCATCTTTGCTGCACGTGGTGTGTCTGATGATGAGCTGTGAGTTTCTGCAGGACCCGCGGGTTGGGCAGGCGGTCTGGGGAGGGAGATGGCCTGCAGTTCAGGTCGCGTAGTCTGCACCCAGGACCCCATGGCCCTCGGCTCTTTCTGTCCCCGTCTGGCTCCCCATGGCTTTCCCCACTTGCCCCCTCACGCCCAGGGGAGAGATCCACATGTGCCAGTTATCATGAGATGGCCCCAGTTCTCTCCGGCTCTAAGCCCTTACCTTCCTGCTGGGGCACTAACCCGGTGACCCAACTTAGTTCACTTTCCCATACTCAAAAGATGACCGAGGGTCCAGGCATGCACGAGGAGATATAATTGGAGAAAGGTCTGGGGTGCTTCCAGCTCCTAGAGGCCAATCCTTTGGAGGCTATGCCTGGGTACAGGGTTACTCTCACCATGCCAGGCATTGTTACATGGCGTGGGGCCTGGCTTCCTGGCTGCATGAGACAGTGCAGGGATGTCTCAGAGGTGCTGATGGGAAAGAAAGAGAGCTGGTGCCAGATCAGAGCTTAAAGAGAGGAGGTGAGGCAGCCTGGGTGGCGCCTGCTCAGGTTGGCGTCGAGATCGCGATCTGACCGGGAGTTCCGAGCCAGTGGGGCTCTGGGCTGTGGCTCGGGCCGGGAGCCTGCCTTCCCATTCATGTCTCCCTACCTGCCCACTCACCGTTCATGCTCTGTCTCTCTCTGTCCCAAAAATAAATAAAAAACGTTGAAAAAAAAAATTTAAAAAAAAGTTAAAAAAAAAAAAGAGAGGGGAGGTTTAATAGAGAATCAAAATAGGGAGGGGCTGGGATTGTTTCTCCTCCAGCAGGTCCCTCCCTCCTGGCCCACCCCAGTGCCTGACCACTGTGCACACTGTCTTCAAAACGTCATCGCCAGGGGGACGTGCAGGGAGGTGAGGGGTTAAGGGTGTAGAAGCTGAAGCAGCTAATTCCTGACTTTAATTCCCAGCTCCGCCCTTGGCCAGCCAGATGACCTTGGGCAAGGAACCTAGCAAGTTCTCTGTGACTCAGTTTCCTCATCTGTAAAATGGGGCCGGTAACAGTCCCTACCTGAAAGGGTTGAAAGAGATGTCACCCACAGGGTACATCTGGGGGCTGGGCCTGGCCGTGCCTGTGAGCCTTGGGCCAGCGACCTACTCGCTCTGAGCCCACGTTTCTGAACGTGAGATGCAAGGCTGTAAAAGAATTTCAGCCCTGCGGTGAGGCAAGAGCCAAGATGCTCAGGAAACCCTGAAGGTCTGGGACCAGGTGGCTCGTAGTAGGGTGGTATGGGTGACCTTAGGCTGAGGAGGAGGAAGGGACATTCTGTTCCAGCCCGCGGACTCCTCTGTAACCGGAATCCCAGTCGGAAGGGGAGTGTCCTGGATTGGAGGTGTGGGAGGGGGCCGGGGAGGAGGGCCAGGAGGTGGGATGAGCCTGCCAGCATTGCAGGGACGGGGCCCCAGGCCTAGCAAAGCGCCTCGCTAGCGACACCAGGGGTGGGGGGTGGACTCCTCCCAGCAGGACCGCGGGCGCGCGCTGGGAGGGCAGACCATCGGCGCTGTCCGAGGTGCTGGAGCCCCGAGGCGCCGGGGAGCGTGGGGGCTGGCTGACTCACTTGGAAAAGCAGTGCGCCGCGGTGAGGACCCAGCGCTCTGTGATGAGGCTGCCCCCGCAGAAGTGGCTTCCGTTGCGCTGGATGCTGACCTGCCAGGGCCACTCGCCCTCCAGGGCGTCCTGGCCACCCACCATCCGGTTCAGCATCCTCGGACGCCCGCAGACTAGGGGACAAGGCCGGGCAGTGCTCGCTGGGGACCCTTTCATCGCCTCTGGTTCCCAACCCCCACCCCGCACTCTGTCTTTCATCTTCTGCCCCATCCAGAGCTCTCTTTGCCCTTGACCCACTCTGAGACCTCGGGGCCTGGGTGCCCGGTCAGCCTCTGACACAGGCAGACCCCTCCCAACTGTGGGAAAGTTCCCCTGCCCTTCACCTCTGAAACAGTGACATCAGACCTCCCTCTCTGGTCATGAGATGTGGAGAGGGTTCAGATAACACGTGGAAGGGTCTTACCCCAGGGCCTGGTAAACAGGGGCTCCCGGGAGGACAGCAGGTGTTGGAAGGGCCCCACACAGGGAGGTGACCCTGGGGGCTCTGCTACTGCTATAGCAGAATGGTCTTCGGACTGTGTCCTTGGGTTCTCTGCTCTCACTTTCCCCTGACCTCCTTCTCTGTGCGCCATGCATGCCTCCGCGGGCCCCTGTGCCATCTGCAGGTCAGACCCTCCTGCTCCACTCCTGTCTTGGCTCTAATTCTGCTGAGCTACAGCTTTCCCTTACTTTGGGGTTCCCCAGGCCCCAGCCTCTGGTTCTGGGTCCCGTTCTGGGGGGGGGGTGTCCAGGGGTGGGATGAGTCTCTGGCCAGTCTTGGCAGCTCTCAGGGAAGCTCCCACTCCCGTCCCCCCATCCAGGGACCTAGGATGCTTACCGCTTGACGCCTCGGCCCCCTGAGTCCCTGGAGGTGAGAAAAAAGGGGGTGATCAGCCATCTTTGTCAAAGCCAAGATCTGCTTCTCCCCTGCCCACCTCCTCTGCTCCACACCCAGCCTCCTGAGGACGCAGAAGGACAGTCCACAGGGGAGCTGGCCAGAAAGGTCAGGGGCCCTGCCATGTTTACAAGCCCAAAGCATATCTGCAAGGGCAGACAAACTCCTTGCCACACAGGAGCCGACTGGGAGAGATGCCAGTGAGGGGACCCCCATCATGGCTTGGCTCTGCTGCCTGGGGCTAGCATGGCTTCTTTTCCGCTCCTTGGGGTCTGTCTCTCCACACCCTACACCTGTCCCTGTCTGGAAGTTTCCCCCAGAGCAGGCTGGAGCTGTGTGACCTTCACACCCGCGGAGTGCTGCAACGTGAGCCAGCCAGCACCCGGCCACACAGGTGTCTGTGGTTCCAGGGGACTCGAGGGAAGCCAGCCAGTAGCATCACAGGTCAGTTCCCCCAAGATTCTAGACTCCCAAGAACCCAACACCTCCTGTTGTGCAGTTGGAGCCTAAGACACGCCGCTGGGCCATGCTCCCCCGCCCCAGTGAAGGACCAGGCAGAGGGGTCAGAATAGAAACTTTCCAGGGACCCATCTCCCCAGGATCCATCACCTCCCATGTCTCTGGACACAGGCACAGGGCCCAGTACTTGGCCTTTACAGGAACCTCACCCCAGACTTGAGACCCTAGCCCCATGTCAGCAACATGCCAGAAATACCTGCCAGCCTCCCAGGGCCCCCAGAGTATCTGCTTCACTGGGGGCAAGAACTGGGGTGGGGGGGTTCAGGACAGCTTCTTCCTACTTCAGCCCTCAGCGTTTTCCCTGCGGGATTGTTTTTTTTGGGGGGGGGGACTAGAGGGTGTGGCAGCTGTTGTTGCTAAGACTGACCCTTTGACCAGAAGAGGTAGCCAATCCCATGGAGGGGAGGGGCTACAGGGGCAGGAAATGGTTGTGACCTTGGAGATTTTTACAAGGACCCCCACTCCAGTTTGAGTGGGGCGCTCCCTACTGTGGGGAATGAGGCTTAGCGGATGAAGTATGGTGGGGGGGGGGTGGAGCAGGGGACAGGAGGGGACTGGGCCTGGGGCAGGAGGAGGTGGACGGCAAGAGTGGTGGTCAGGTGGTGGCCTGACCAGGCACAGGCAGGCGTGCGGAGGCAAGAGTAGTGCCTGCCCAGTGATGGGAACAGGAAGTCGACCCTGGACCCTCCATTCACCGATGTGTGTTAACAGGTGCCCTTTTAAAGTACAAATATTCCCTGGGAAGGCTGTTCCCTGCAGCCCCTCACCTATATTATTAATAGAATTTAATTAGACTGTAAACACCTGACCCACTGCTCTTCCTAAGGCCCGACGGCAGGATGCTCTGATTCACCCCTGTCCCCATGGGCGCCAACGTTCCTTCAGGCTCATTCCCTCCCTGGGGGAGTTTTCCAGGGTCTTCTGGTTCTCCCCCACAGTCAGCCCCCTTCCCATACATGCAGACTGATCCATGGTCCACACCCAGGATCAAGTACGCGCTCCTGTGCCCCGGCGGACCCCCTCTTGTGCTGTTGCAGGCTTCGTCAACCCAGCTTAATGCAACTGCTTCTCATACAGGCTGAAGCTTCTGACCTCTGAGTGATTGCTACCCACACCCCTCTGCCTGGAGGCCCTATCCTCCCGGTAGTTACAAGTCCGAATCCTACAGGTCCTAATCCAGATCAAGGCTTAAGTGAAATGCCGCTTCCTCCGGGCAGCCCTCCTTACTTGCATTGTCTGTCTAGGAAGGCTGGCTCCCTCTCCTGAGCTCTCCATCCTCCTGCCGGGTCACACAGAGCTCTGCCCACCTTGCCCCAGAGGTAGTGTCATAGTCTCATCTTAACCTATAGGCTCAGGAGCTCAGTCCAGGCAGAGCCCCCATCCAGGGGGCCTGAGCTCAGGGAATGTATAGACAGACAGAACAGCTGTGGGGGCAGGGCTGACCCGGAAGGGGTACTGTGAAGGCCCCGGGCTCTGCGGGGTGGGCGCCCTGTCTGGGGCTGGATGCGCCACCAGATGTCAGGCCCCTCATGTGGGCCCAGGGTCCCCAGGCCCCTGTAGCTGGTTGGGGCTCAGCTGGTAAGGATGCGAGAGACCGAAGGTTCTAGGAGGCGGAGGTGAGGACGGCGTTGAAAGAGTCCACAACTCCTGGTCACAACTGTTTGTGAGCCAGATGCAGGCTGCTGTTTCCACTTTGGCAATGACCGTGATTACTCAACCCATTAGGAGCAATCACGGCATTACACCCTTACTGAAGACGGGCTCCCTCCAAGAACATTGTTACCCTTGTACCAGGAAGTCAGGAGGCGGCAGCCACGCAGTGAGGGGTGGGGAAGCCCCCTGGAGCCTGGAGAGACTGGGACCTCCCCACTGGAGTGCCACCCCGGTGTCCTCTGACCCCTGATAGGAAGCCTGGAGCCCCAGCTGAGTTGCACCTGGGATGACCTGGCCCGGCCCTGGGAGGTGAATTCAGGACAGGGAAGTGAGGTGGCACGGGGCCGGGCTAGCCCAGGAATGTGGGAAGGTTTCCCTGACAGGGAGCAGCCCGCCCTGTGGGAAGGGGCCTGGCAGGCGGGGGCCCCTGGCTGGCACCTGCTGACCCTGACCGAGGATTGGGAGGGGGGAAAGGGATGTTTGTTCCTCCCCATACTCTCCCTGTCTGGTGAGAGCAAGAACCTGCACCCCTAGCCCCCCACTCCCCAGTGAGCCCCCACCAGCCTCCTGGGGCTCCCAGGCTCAGGCGGCAGCTCGGCCACCCTTCCCCGCCCCGGCCCAGTAGATGGTGACCTGAGGCTTTGGAGCCCAGTGGCCTGGAGTTCAGAGGCTGCACACAGGCAGCCCCACGTCTTTCTCTGGGGGATGGAAAGAGGCTGAGAATAGAAGACGCAGAAGCAGCAAGCCGAGAGCTTGGCCCACAAGCACCAGAGACAAGGAGGGGGCAGGGGGAGGAGAGCCCCTCCCACGTTTCGGCCTCAGGGTCCTCTGGGACCGGTGCCCACACCCCTCTCCTGCCTTCCCCACTCCCCTCCCCGCGGTGGGACATCTGGACCCAGGACCCTCGCTGGGGCAGGAAGGGGAGGCTTGTGCTGCAGCCCCAGGTCTGACCCTGGAGTAGGCGACTCGGCTGGAGCTCCAGGCAGATCAGAGGGGGCCCCTCCAGGCAGGAGGGGGGACGACTTCCTGCAACATCCAGTACTCACCAAACCACAGAGGCAGCAGGATCAGGGCCATGGCTGGCAGCCGCCTCATCCTCTCAGCCTGGCTGGGGCACCAGGTGCAGGGGGCAGTGGCGATGGGAGGTCCGTGAGCACCAGCTCAAGGTGCAGGGCTCCATGAAGTGGGGTTTTATGCTGGAGGTGAGTGTCAGCTTGGCTATGCCGCCTGACCTGTCGGCCCGGCCCATCCAGCTCCTCTCCGGAAGGAGGGGCCCCAGAACACAATCTCCTCCAGACCGGCCCCTGAACCACAAGGGACCAGACCCCTCACCCTAGAATACCTTAGGGTCTTGGGGCCAGGGTGTGTCTGCCCCATTTGGTTGCTTGTGGCCTGGGATTCCAACCGTAACTGACCAGACACCCCCAGCTGACCACGGGCCCCACATAAGCCGACAACAGTCTGCCTTCCAGACCTTCCCTGATTCATTCATTCATTTGTTCAGCCATTGATTTGTTGAGAACCTACTTCGTATCAGGGCCTCAGTGAACAAAACAGTCCAGGCCTGTGGCTTACGCTTACAGGGAAGGGGACGCAGAAAAGTCCAGGTCACCGCGCTTGTGGAACAAAGCGGGTGGGGAATCGGGACGTGGGAGAAGTATCCCTCCCTAGCTGACCCCAGCCAGCGCTCACGGGTGCTTTCCCGGGGGCGAGACGCGCCCCAGAGTGGCCCCGACCCCCGTCCCCTCTCCGGGGCTGCACCCTCCTGCCGTGCGGGCGGTGGGCGGGGGTCTTCCTGGCACCCTCGGGCCAGGGCGGGCGGGGCGGAAGCGGCTTCTGGGAAGGCCTGGCCGGGAAGAGCATCTGCGGGCGCCCCTGCCCTGGGCGCGGCGGGCCGGGCTCTGGGACGTGCGGCAGCGGCGGAAGCGGCTCCGGGGGAAGTTATTTGGAGCACGGGGCTGACGTCAGAGCCGGAGTCGGGGCTGGGGCTGCCACTCCCGGCCCGTGCCACGGGGTCAGCACCCCCGACCAGGCTCGGCCAGAGGAGGGGGGGGAGGCGGGGTGGGGGGAGGATGACGCCGGGCGGCAGGTGGAGCCCTGCCTCCGTTTCCCCGCCTGCGCAGCGGGCACGTGCGTGGGCTGGGAACCAGCGGGGGCCGGGGTCGCCGGCTGGGGGCGCGCTGGGTGTGCGGCACCCCGGCGCCCCCGCGCCCCTGGCTCCCGCACCCCGGTCCCCGGCCCCGCCCGCCGGGCGCTGCCGGTTGGCGCGGGCCTGCCCCCTGGTGGCCGCGGGCTGCGGCGCGGGGCCCCGCCGCGAGTTCTCCGCTTCAGTACCCCCGCGGCCCTTGGGGGGCCGGGGGGGGGGGCGTCACCCCCAATTCGTTCATTCATTGCGCAAGTATTTTCTGAGCGCACGCGG